AATGGCAAAGCTCTGAGGGTTATCGGTTTCATCTTAAATTTCATGGTTTTTAGCCATTGTCTCTACAGATTTTGGCATTTAGATGTGGTTGTATTAATTTACATATCTTTATTTATATATAGGTAAATACATTCTGATGACAATTGTTGTCTTCTGCTCAAATTCCTTTTCATTACAGTCCTCTTCTTGAGAGTCTCTAGAGTACCTCTACAGCTTCAGGTCGTGTTTGACAGGTTTTTTTGGCCTGAGATTGTTTCAGATACTCCTGCTCCAGATTTTTCTTTACACATATTTTCTTCAAGCTCTGTTTTTCAGGGTCTTTGGCTTCAGACTGTATACATATATACAGAGTATCTGCTTCAGATTCTTCTAGATTCAGCTATCGTGCAGTGTCATTTACTCTATTCTGCCAGCAAACTGACCGTTAGATATCCCTCCGTCTAATCCTAGGGTAAACTTGTCCTGCTCTCATTTGGGATTCCATTCATCGGACACGTCCCGTTCTCATTCTCGTTGTTCTTCTTGTCCTCCACCTCCTCCTCTTCGACTTGGACTCGGACTCTGGACTAAAAAACAAAGATATGCATAAAAAAGCAGCGAAAAACCGTTACGTCTTAGCACAATGCCCAAGGGTCCTGCCAGCCTGTCCTTTTCCTTTTTTTGTCGTTCTTGGCGCGCCTGCAACGCGCCAGTCACTGACCTCATTTCGATCGGGTTCGCCCTTCGGCTGGGCCCGATCTGAGCGCCGAACTAAAACTGAAACCGAAACCGAAACGAGACCAAGACCGAAACAAGAACGAGTTGCTCTTAAGGATCCTAAATGACCAAGGAATAGAGGGGTCCGACAGGGCCAGGCCAGCACAGCTGGAAACTACCGGACTGCTAGAAGGATCTTGGATCGATGTTGGAGTTTTCTTGGGGCCTTGTTTGCTCAAGATATCGATGGATTCCGATAGAGCCATCCATATAAGAAAGAAAAGGATCCATCCGTATCGCCTGAAATATCACTATAGCATAAGAGCATATAATCGTCTTGATTCCTTTTCCATTCCATATATAGTGAGCAGTTAACTTTTAATTGACTAAATATTTAAGAGGAGAACATGATCCACTCAATGGGGACTTCTTTCGATACCAAAGAACTGGCTCTTTGTTGAACCAATTAATATACTTTTAATATTTGATGTATATTTTATGCTTGCAGAGATCTGCACCAACTAATAGCCACAACATAATAATTTAATCCCATCTAGGACGACGACTCCGCCCTGATGTCCTGGTCTCGGGACCAGAGATAAATCGCAGCGAGATCAAACTCTCATTAACCCAAAAGATGTGACCGGCCACCGTCCAAGGATCCATAAATTATCATTTTAACGGCCAAGGCAATTGGGATATGTAACGGGGAGGGGATGGTAGTGGATGGGAGGGGCGAAAAAATTACGCAGTCATAAAACAAATTCCTAATCAACTAAAGATTCCGGATCAAATTGTAATACGCATGTTGACCAGTCCAAGGCCCAGTCCCTGTCCCAGTCTCAGAACGGGATGACCGCTCTAGGACGGGGCGCTCTGGTCAGTGGCATGAAATATGAGTTCAGGGCAGATCAGGGCAGGGCAGGGGTTCAGGTTCATCTAGAGGGGACCGCTTGGTCAAGCGTGTAATGCTTAAGGATGTGAGAATGTCTTGGCAATGGCAATTTCACAGTTGCCACAGAGATAGACAGATAGACAGGGATAGACAGAGAGACAGAGGGACAGAGGGAGCGAGAGAGATACATTCATAGAGCAAATCAAGATCATTGACCAACCCAACCCCAACCCAACCCAACTAATATTCAAATGAGGTCGCCTGGATCGGGGCCCGAGGGCCGTAAATTAAGGCGGCCAACTGCTGACCAAATGCAACTGCGACCCGAGTTCGGATAGGAGAGGATCGGGTCGGGTGCAGGGCCCAGGCCCAGGGTGCAGGCCAAGAAGGGCATTGCGAAGGGGTGAATAACGAGCGCGAAACTCATTATAATGGGAGCAAACGGCAAAGGGCACAGGGAGAGGGTGAGGGTGAGGCAGAGGGAAATTGCATTGACCTAAAACTTTAAGACATCGCTGAAGAGCAAGCAACCCCAGCAAGGAGCCGCACCGGACAATGGTCAGTCCGGGGCTACTTAGTGTCCCATCCCGATGCCGATCCCGATCCCATTCCGGTCTGTACTCGAGCTCATTTGCATATTTCGCGCTCTCGATCGGGATGCGATGCGCCTTCGTCTATTTATTTAGCGCCCGATGTGCTCTCCCTGTGCATGTGACTATCCCATTTCCAGATCGGGTCGCGATGGCGATGGCGTTTACGCTGGGAACTTTTCTTGACCGTTGGCCACTCTTTGTGCTTTTATGCCCCGAACTCGACCTCGACCGTCTCTCTTTGGCTTTGTCTCACTCTTCTCGTGCCATCTCTCTCGCAGTTCCAGTCGCAGTCCCAGTCCCTCCGGTGAGTGGTCCATTGTCCAGGGCGTTGCCTTTTGTTTTCTTATGTCATGTTGGACAAGAACTAGGACTTTGCCCGGTCCCAGGGCCCGTACCACATCCACATCCAAATCCAAAGCTCTCAAGGCGCAAACTAGTTTCGTTTTTTTTTTTTTTTTGGCCTGAAGTGAGACATATTTTGCGGCAATCAGCAGCAGCAGGAGCCGGAAGAACCAGCTGTGCTCCCTATCACCTATTCCCATTCCCCAGAGTCCCCAGTCCCAGAGCTACTGTTGAAACTATGCCATGACATTTCCCCCTAAGTAATTATATGCTTCGATTATGGGGCCACTCTTTTGTAGGGAAAGAAGAGAGGTTGAATAAGTAGAAAGCTTTATGCTGAAACTCATAAATACTCGATATAATTTTGAATTTGCTTTTCAGCTTTCATATACCTGGCTATAGACCTACAGTTTTGATTTTTAGTATAATATACTATGCAGTTTTATCGACAAGGACGGACGACTTGCATATGATTCGAATATCTACAAAATGTTCACTTGTACACATATGTACACATTTTCTCATCAAATCAGACTAATTTATATAGATATAAGAGAGAGATCCTGCATTATTTAGAATAGTGGCTTAAAGACCCTTCCGTTTCCAACTGCTCTACAGCCCAATTTCGTTGCAAATCGAATGCTCATCCCTTCCGATTTCGGCCATAAGTTATCGGTTGATAAATCTCCACGCATCCATCATTGCTGATGATGATAATGATGGCGCTGACCTTTTGCCGCATGATGTGACCTGCGGAGTGAACTTTTCCCAATTAATTACTTCATTCCATGCAGTTTATGCCCCGAAAGCCAAGCCCATGCCACAGCCACCCCCAAACAAAAAGTTGGTCAGACGAAACCTCGAGCGGAAGAGTCAACAACGGGACCATCAGGGAAATGAGAGTGGACCGAGGACCGAGGTCCGGGGACCGGGGAGTTGGGGGATGTTCTTTAGTGGGCTGATGCGGCGCTTAATCGTGACTTTTAACGCACACTCCGCCCCTGAGGGAGGGCAGGGATCGCGGGGGGCAAAGGTGAAACTAAACGGCAGCCATTAAGGGTGGCTGTTGGGTCTGGGACTGGGCCTGGGACTGGGACTGGGACAGGGTGTGGCCCACGTCTCGCCCACGCTCTGCGGGAAGCATCTGTGTCTGGGTTTGGCTCTGTTTCTTTTTCGGGCTCTGTTTGCTTTTCTGTTTGTTCTTTCTCTCCTGTTGGCTAATCCCAAAGGCTCTGGCATTTGGAGAGCAGACACTCCATAATTGCATTCGGCACGCCGACTCAACGCTCCGATTCTTTTTGGCCCAGACATCTGACATTTTTGCCAGAGTTTCCAGCAGGAGAGAGATGGATGGAGCATGGAGTGTGGAGTGTGGAGTGTGGAGTGTGGAGTGTGGAGTGGTGCATTCCATTCCTCTTGTGGCACATGCACTTCCTTCCACTTCCGCCCACAGCATGACCAGGAAACGGTTTTCCACCTTTCGTGCTTTTGTGCTTTACGCTAGACAGACTTTCGGTCAGCACTATAAATTCCATATATTTTATATGCACAATGTATGTAGCTATATGTACATACACCCATATCTAAGACTTAAACACGAAGATCGCAGAGTCTTCGATGGGATGGAGCTCCTGCCATTCGAGTGTGTCTTTCTCTAACGGCTCTCTAACGGAGTGACTGTTGGAGCCTGGTAGATGGATATTTGGCGAGACCAGATCTAGCTACCAATTTTAGCTCAAAGCCCCAAGAATACATTGAACTTTAATGCAGACCTTCCCTTCCAACAAGCCGTTCTTTAGGCTCACTCGAGCAAGAGTATTACAGACTTTGGTATTACAAATCAGATGAAAAATACGAGTTTCTGCCTTTATATATAGATATGTACATACATATATGTGTATGTATAAATAATAAATTAAATCGAGATAATCAATGCAATGCAATACAAAAACAACGAAAGTGAAAACGAAATCGAAACCGAAGAAGACACAGACACAGTAGCAGAAACCGAATATAAATCCCATGCAAGTGGCCGGCAATTATCACGTGCAAGCCATGAAACTGGTACAAAGCAGGGGGAACGCCAGGCGGAGGGAGGGAGAGACGGATGGAGAGTGAAGGCAATTCGACCGTGAATCTCCCATGAGTTCATCCAAGAATCATCAATGAAGTAATCATTAATTTCTGCAAGAACTAAGTATCTCTGAAAGGAGTCTGAAAGGAATTGAAACGGAGACTGACAGTGACAGTGACAGAGAAAGAATCAGTTGCTATTCATAGACAAATCGTCAGTAGCTCCATCAAAACTTCAATTTTCAGTTTATTACTTACACAGGCGGCCGTACGATTTCATTTAAAGTTTAGAGCTCGCTCTGAAAACATCTGAAAACAAGATCCACAGTCGGAGCTGACGAAACCTAACTCCTAAAATTTTTTCAAAATTTCTTAAAGAGTTTAATTCAGTTTCAACATCAATGGATATGACACTTCATAAATGGCAGCTGGGGCTCATTGTTGGCACGCCCGTGGTCTACGGCATTGGAAAATATTTGGTCAAGAAGATGATCACGCCGCGCCCCAAGGCTGGGGCTAAGGCCGAGGAAGAAGAACAGCCGCCTCCAGACGAGGGACCCGATGCATCTGCCATTCTGGCTGAAAACAACCCACTGGAGGCCTCTGTGGAGACGTTTGGGCCCAAAGACGGTGCCGGCGATAGCAGTGACCTGGAATATAGACACCTTGTCGCTGATGTCGGCGACTATGGCATGGCCATGGAGACGGAGATTAGGAAACATTGCCAGGGCATGTCTGTCCTGTATCAGAACCGCGCCGTCTGGCATGTGGTGCTCAAGCACTGGGACAAGGTGAAGGAGGACTCCGCCAAGGCGCTGGAGTACGACTGTCGCAACGGCATGGCGTACTTGAGTCGGGCCCGTGCCTACGACGCCACCGGGGAGCTGCAGGAGTGCTTGAACGATCTTGAGGCGGCCCGCGCCCTGTTCCGCGTTTCGTCGATCGCCAATGGGAGCCCCGAATACGAGAGCATCCAAACGTTCTGGAAGCGTGTCCTCCTGCAGGGGGCACGTGCCGATGCCAAGAAGATAATGCGCCAACGAGGTCCACTGTTTCCCTCAAAGGTCCGCATCAACTCATATATGCAGGCCTTTATCGCAGATCCGTTGATGAAGCTGAGCTTCCCTCGACCGGTGACGGAGAATGAAGTTCTGCGCGGGTTCCCTCGTGCTCTCTGGGCTTTCCGTGAGGAGCGTTTTGAGGACGTCATCCCGGCCTGCACCGAGGAAATTGATACATTGGAGTCCCAGTACAAGACGGAAGCCCGGCTCATGCGCGGCACCTTCCATCTGCTGTCCGGCTCCTTCTACGAGTGCCACCAGGACTTCGAAGCAGTGATCGGCGATGCCAAGGCGAACAACGAATTGCGTGCCTATGCGTTAATTCGGAGTGCTGCCCTCTGTTTTCAGCTAAGGAGACAGAACAAGGCCATGGATGCTTTTGAGCAGGCTGAGCGGCTGGTTCGCGACAATCCCGATGTCTATCACCAACGTGGCCTCATCCTGAGCAAGCTGCAGCACTATGAGGTAGCCTTGATGGACTTCGAAATGGCAGCGCGTCTGGCCCCCGGCCACGTCAGTCCCCTGGTCCTCAAGCACTTTACCGAGTACCATCTCTCGAGCCTCGAAAACGACCCTCAACGCATGGAGACGGCGCTCAAAAAGCTTGGCGAGGTCCCATTGGCGCATCCGAATAGTATCGATGCCTACATGATGAGGGGCAGCCTGCTGGCCAGACGGAAAGATTTCGTTGAAGCCCTGCTGTGCTTTGAGCGGGCTACAGAGCTGGCGCCCAAGAATCCCGTTCTGATGGTCAACCGTGCGATCTTGGAGCTGAAGCGGCATGGCAATGCCGAGCTGGTTCTCCCGATGCTCTATGAGGCCATCGAGCTGGATCCGAGGTGCCACATGACATATCCAATCCTGGTCACTCTGGAGATCAAGCGGAATAATCCCGAAAAGGCCATCGAGCTCTTGAACCAGTCCTGTCTCCATACCGGGACCTACAACGAGGTCCTGCACGCCTGCTCAATGCGCAATGCGTTGATGGCGCGCACTGTTGCCAGGAAGAATTTGGGCATTGACTGCGACCCTTCCAAGACCACAGTTTAATTGAAAGTGTTGAAATATATGTATGCATATGGCCATTTCTTTATTAGTCGAAAATCCGAAATCCACATCGATAATCCTATTCTGTGGCTTTTTCCGCCTACCTATTGTTTCAGATAAAGTACGTACGAGTGCGTACTAGTACGAGTATTTTCCCACCTTTAGCGGACCTTTGGCTTTTCACGTTTTCCCACGCCCCCAGCTGCCCCACCAAGCCGCCGTTTATCGCTGGAGCTTTTCACCGCCCGCATGGGATCCCAAAAAGAGGCTCGGGTCGGATCGGGTCGGGTCGAGCGTTTCCCAAGCGAGGAGGCAATGCTGATAAGGTGGTGGACATGTGTTTGTGTGTGGATTTGGTTTCCCGCCATTTGCTCAGCGAACCGAAGACAGCCGCCAAGACAGAAGGTCTATCTTATCAAGAGCAGGGGAAAGGGAGAGGCCTCAAGGCGGTAAGGCATGGATGGGGGTAGGCTGTGTTGCATGTGTTGTATGTCGTGTGTCGTGTGCCGTGCGCCGTGCAGTGTAACGTGCAACGGCTGCGAAGGAGAGCGATTGTCAAGTCGATCGAAGAAGGATCGACGGACCGAGTAACTCTTGCAGCTGACGCGACAGCGTGTGCCACGGACCACGGGCCACGGGCCACGGTCCAGATTATGTACGAGCAGAAGGACAAACGCCAAATCAACTGAGTCGCTCAAGCGTTGCCCACGAAGGAACTGTGTGCGGCAGGAGCTGTGGCAGGGAAGAAGCGCTACAAGAGCTCCACCCAAGGAAATTACAGAAAGAGAGAGAGAGAGAGCCAGCTGCAAGGCCACCCCACTCCACTCCACACCTCGCCGATTCGATGTCATTTCTGGTAAGGCGACATTCGTCATCATCTTGATAGTGCCACATCAACGTATGGCAGCATGTGGGCTGCCCTGGAAGCGACGCGTCTTGTGGGCTTTCCCACTCCTCGAATTATGGCAGTTGTGCAACTTCTTCTACCGCTTCTCTACCGCTATTCCTTTCAGTACTCTCAATTCAAGGTGTTCTCTTGGTTTTTTTTGGGTCCCCCATGAAGCCCCCATGTTCCCCAACATCGTAGAAATGCACCTGACCCAAAAGGTCGATCCTGATATGCTCTCCTAAATGCAATACCTAAAGAAAGAAACCGTATGAGAGAAATCGCTTAAATATGGCATGTTCTGCAGAAAAGTATTCCAAAATGAAATAAGCTCGAACATGGTAATATTTCCAGCTTAACAATATTGCAAATCTTCCTCGGATGCACCGCCGTATGATACCTCTGAGTGGAGGTGCATCTCCACAGTATGCCGGATACTTTTACATCAGTCTTACATTATCACAATGTCACCCAAGAGGGTGTTCAAAAAGGGTTCTAAGAGAGCGAGTGGGCAGCAGCTGGACCCCTGTCGAAGGGAAAAACATCCCATCCCCGACGAAGCGTCCGCGCTCAAGACCATGTCCAGGGGCTAGTACAAAAAATAACTGGCTGAGGCCAAGAAGCGGTGAAACAAGAGCGAACACTAAAGCCGACGACTTCGGGATACCTGGTACTTTATTTATGGTGGTACTGTCTGATAAGTCTTTCAAAGATACAGTTCCCAAATCTGTACTTCTGAAATTGCTCAAGATTCGCAAAGTTCTACAGACAACCAGATGGCATCGTAATACACGATCACAATATAGGGTATATTTTGAGGGGCACATGCTGCGGGGTATAAAAATGTCATGTGGGTTCACCGACGACTGCACAGGGGCACGTGCCCTCTCAAGCGCGAAATGCAACTGCAACAGCAACAGCAAGAGCGGCAACAGAAACAGCAACAACAGCTACAAATGAATGACTGGATAAATGAGGAAGATGCCCCCGACTTTGGTCTTGAGATCTCGGGGCGCCCCTGTCTGTCCCGGTCTTGCCCAAATCGACGATGGCCTGGTCGGGGTCTGGCCTGCTCTTCATCTTTGTATCTTCGTATCTATCTATCTCTATCTCTTTGTGCAGCACTTCCGGCGCTGCGGTTGACTGTGCTCGCGTCCCTCCTACCCAAAACCCATACCCATGCCCCATACACATCTCCTACTCCATCTCCACGAGTATCTGCAGGTCTACCTCTCCCTCACCATCATCATTATCATCATCATTATCGTCATCATCGCCACGATGGCAGTCATCGTTTCGTTTTCTTTAATTGCTCTCTGGACTGGGCCTCTACGTTTGCCTCTGGCTTTGTGCTGTCCTGGCATTCCCGCAGGTTTTCCTTATTTTTCTCAGCCCTCTTCTTTACGACAATGGGGTTGGCTCTTTTTCTGTTTCTGTTTCTTCAGCGTCTCATTTTTCTCTCTTTTTTTTTATTATATTTTTTTGTTTTTTGTTTGTTGTTTTTTTTCCTATTAAAACGTCCCCGGACATTGCAGCTAAATTAGATTAAGCAGTCATGCACATGTCTTTCCCTCTCCCTCTCAATGTCCCTCTCCTTGGCTTACCTTTTTGCCGGGCGTCAGTTGCTGCCGGCAGACAGAAGGTTCTGCCGAGGGTTAAGGTGGAAAACCTTTTCTCTATATGGTTACTGCCGTAACCATGGAGATCAGAAATATCCTTATCCCTGCCCAATAGCTTAAATCCTAAAATCCTCTGATGGAATCGACATCTCAATCCGAATAGCATAACGATTAGAATTCAGAACAAATCAGGGATATTTTCTGGTGTTGAATAAATTCTTGAAAAGCCATTGCTATACGATAGATCTAAGACTGAACGGAAGGCGTTACTATCTTTTCTAGGCGGCTCCATGTCTAAAATCCACTCTATGATGTACGCTTGCAATTTTTGATTTCAAAAGTCATTCCTATATACAGAGAAGCCCCAACATTTACAGCACAATCTAAAGAAAATTCGAAATTGGCAAATATTTTAAAAAAGTTAATAGCATTATGAATTAATTTTGTTGGCTGAATTCGCGAGCGGAAATCGAAAAAACTCTCTTTTTCGATTTTTTACTCCAGTTCGACTGTATCAATTCATGTCGCTTCTACTAAGATCTCTTTGTCCTCTCTGAATATGAATTCTGATATAAAATATATCACTGAATCGTACCTAATACTTTCTTCCATTTAGTTTCATCTGAAAGCTACAATTGTGACACAGTTCTTCGTATTTCTGGGTTCCTAAAGTTAGATCTATGGCAAGAGTGAGGTTTTCCTAGGAAAGAAGTTAAGGATCGATTGACAAATGTTGTTTCCGCCAAGCCGCTTCCATACACTGCTATCCTTGAATTGCTCTTTTTCCGCTATGCCATCGCATCGGATAACAACGATTGCACTTGCAACTGCTGTTGCTGCTGCTGCTGCATGTCCTTGGCTGTTGGCAACTGTTCCATGCCGCTGGGGTCAATAAAACCGAAATAAAACCGATCCTGATGCTGCATAGCATCTATAGCGTCAGCCAGGGGGAGAGAGAGAGAGAGGGAGAGAGGGGTTGTAGGCACAGGTAGAGCGGCGGCGGCGGGCGATGAACCTGTTCCTGCTCCGAGGAGCGGGACCCTAAATAATGGGTCCAACAGGTGCATTGAGAATCCCTCGGAGAGACGGCACGCGCATGTTGCAGGCATTCTTGCATCCTTGCAACATCATCAGACAACATCCGAGGCATCGTAAATAAACGAACCGAGGGGCACGTGCCCCTACAGGGCAGCAGTGAGAGGGGGAGGGAGTCCGATCTGCAACTGCAACATCATCGTCGACAGCGTCATTGTCCTGTGGCAGGATGAATGTTCCAATTCCCATTCGCGTTCCCGTACACGATGATCATGATGATGATGCGGTACCTGTTCCTGGTACCCCTGGTTCACTCCCTTTCTTCGGGACCCTTTTCCCACTCATATGGCTCTGGCTCTGGCTCTGTGTCTGGCTCCGACTGCAAGCTGCATTTCTGCGGTTTCTTGTGGCTCGTGCCTTGCCCCAGACTCGGCTCCAATTTAACGCGACTTAGGGAGCCTCTGCCTCTGCCTCTGCCTCTGACACTGCCACTGGGCCACTCCCGGACAGCTGAGGCCGCGCAGCCGCTTTATAATTAACTTGATGATCGGTTCTGATCTGATGCTGCCGCAGACTCTCCTTGCAGCATCCCTCAGATGACAGCTGAAAAGATCAGAGAGAGGGGGAGAGAGACATGCAGATCTCTTGGCGCAGGTTTCTTATTCTAATAAAAGTTCCTACGTTATAGACACCTACTCACTTATTCGCCTCATCAGCGCCTGGTCAGTGGACCAATTAGGCAGCCAATTATGACTAAAGAGACGCACCTTTTCCGCCGCTCCCCCCCATCACCAGACGAGTTTTTATGAGGATTTCAAAAGGCACGAGCACGCCCACAATCGGACAAATCATTGCGTAACCAGGTCTAGAGCAGCCCACGCTCATAAAAAAGGGATCAGCAGGGAGAACATCTGTCCAGAGAGACGCGACCAATCTGCTATTGAGTGCTGGGCGCGCTCACACCTTGGCCAGATCGGCGATGGGATGGGATCGGGCCACGAAGGAGTGAGAGTGAGAGGTCATTAAGTGTCCATAAATCAGTTGGGATAACAGACTGAACGATTGACCCCGCTTGACCACAGCTGTGTAGAGTCCCTGCTGCCTCTGGCTGTTGTTATTTGGATCCGCTCTAGATAACAAGCTATCCTTCAGATCTGCTATATGTAGACATCAATGAGCGCGCGAGTGTACAAAGTCACTCTTATTTCCCAGGATAACTTTAGACAATTATGTGTGTTCTGCGTAAATATTTGCGTGCTCTCAGACAACACAGTAATAAGGGAAAAATATATACAAAAAATAAGCCGAAATAAAGTTTGGAAGGACGCAGGATATCAGACTCAACCTTAAGACCCTCAGCCCAAAAAAAAGCAACCCCCTAGACCCCAACCCCAAGGAAAACAAGAAGCGTGAGAAAAGCAAAGCAATTCGGATATTGAAAAGGAACATAGATGGAAATGGAATATTGCTGGAACAGCGATGATAGATATAAGAGGACTTTCGATTGGGAATTGGAGGCAATTTTCAATAATTTTAAATAAAATAATAAAGTTTTGTTTCTCTTCTTCCGCATTGATCGTTATCCAGAAGCCCTTTCTGACTAGTTCTACATGGTATATTACATTGGAAAAGCGGCACTTTTTATGGTTTTCTCGCCAGAGACTGGACACCAACACGCCCTACCCCACATGATATGCATCTACATCTTTGCATGTGTGCTCATATAGAGAAAACAACAGATTACAACAGTCCGTTTCATCCCTTGCATGACCATGTCGTATCCCCAGAGCACCACAGCCCCCGCCTAGAGTGACTTGCTAAAAGCGTTTGCCGAATGTTGGCCTCGGGATTGGGTTGAACGCGACACCCAAGTACGTGCCCACCTCTGGCCCCACTTCCGCACCCACTTTCTCCTCTTCCTCCTTACCATCGACTGGGACACGAGAGCCGCAGCTCTGCACTCTGCGGCCGTACCTTTTGTGTCCTGTGTGCACACGCTTTTTTGTATTTATACAAAAAGCGAGAGACAGCAGGAGAAAGAGTGCTCAGCCGAAGCATTACATACCCTTTAGAAACTACTTCCTATCTCATACGAAAGCTGATCAAAGTTTTGCGAATAATGAAGAGACTGGTCTATGATTTCGTTGAAACCAAGAAAAGTTCTAGCGTTAAGGAAACCCACATAAGCCCTAATATAGATGCGGGTTCACGTGTCATACGTAAGTACAATAACCTTATCCGATACTGAATATTAAGACTATAAACGGAATATTCGTTTGTAAACCTCCACACTGAAGGAATATTTCAAGCAGTAACTCCTGAACGGATACGGATTTTACTCGTATTTGGACCGACCGAGGGGCTATATCGCATGCCACGTAATAAACTCCAAAACTATTGCTTCCTTTGGTTGAGTGCAAAATTCTGGTCAAAATGTGAATACCCTTTCCGGGATGGGGCATGGCACCTGGAAGTTTCGCAGTGGGCGGGAAGCCAGACCAGAAAAGAGCGCCCATGTCTCTCTCTGTGTTTGTGTGTGTGGGTTTGTATCTTTTAGATAATTTTTTCAACCGCAAGTTGCAGTCAATGCAGCTGCCTGTCTGCCCAACTGAATGGCTGCCTGGCTGCTGCTGCTATCGATCCATGGAACAGTGACTCACGGCAAGTATGCGCACCGCTGGCACAGCATGAATGCAAACTTTCAGAATTCAGTGTGTGTGTGTGTTTGTGTGTGTGTGTGCGGCGGGAGTGTCTGTCTGTGCTCTATCCCGTGTGCAGTGAGGCATATATCCGGGACGGACACGGACCGGACCGCACCGGACTCGTCTCTCCTTTGTCGGGGGTGGTCTTCGCCCCGGGCCCAGGACACGCGAGGCGAGGCGAGGCGAGGCGAGGGCGGAAGAATCAGGAGACAGATTCAGGTTACACACCTGTTCTGTTCCCCGTGTCCCGTGTGGCCCGAGAAATCAATAATGAATGCCAGAGTGCATCCGCAGTGAACCCTCCGAAGCCCCGAGCCCACGCCCGGGCTCACCCACGAAAGTTGTCCACGTGTCGTCCGGTATAAGCACTTTCATCGACATCGACATCGAACACAAAAAGTTCTTCCAATTACAATAAATAAATAAATACGACAAAAAAAAGAACTAAGGCTAGGACTAAAAAAAAACACCAAGGCGAACATCCTGGGGAACCTCTGGGGGATCTCCACTTAGGAGACGAATCTCAAATTGGTTCGCTTGCGTCCGCCGAAGTCGCCAAAGTTGCGTCTAACCGCCTGAAGGACGGCCTGCTTTGCCACGGGATCCACTGCATCCGCATCGGTGGCCACGGCTCCTCCTGCGACTGCTCCTGCGACAGGGGCTGGAGTGGGGTCATTGCTGCCCGTATCGCGGCCCAGGATATTCCAGAAGGGACGCTGTGTGGTGGTCGTGGGCGGGTCCTTGTTGATGTAGATGCAATTGATGATGGGCTCATCGCCGTAGAACTGGCGATTCTTATTGCGGTTCCTGCGGCGGCGCTGCTGCTCCTGGCGGCGACGCTTCTGCTGCTGCTGCTGGCGCTTCCGGGTCTGCTTCTGCTTCTGGCGGCGGCGGCGCTCCTTCTGCAGCTGGAGCTGCTCCTGCTGGCTGAGCGACTGTTGGGGCCGACGGCGGCGGTAACCGCCAACGCTGTTGGAGCTGGAGCTGGAGCTGCTGCTCGAGCTGGGACGGGGGCGTCTCCGTTTGTTGCTGCTGGAGATGCTGCCACTGCTGCTGGAGCTCGGACGCTTCTTCTTCTGACTGCTGGGCCTGGTCTTCCGCTTGTTCACGCTGCTGGCGGCAGTGGGACGCTTCTTCTTTTTCTTGTTCTGCTGGGAGGATCCCAGATCTCCATTAGAACTGATCACCGCGACGGCGGCAGTGTTTCCCGAGGAGGAAGTCGAAACGGAAACGGAGCTGCTGCTGCTGCTGCTGGATGATGGCTTCTTCTTTGGTCTCTTGTTCCCATCCAGGGAGCTCTCCTGCTGCTGATGCTGTGGCTTCTTCTTCTGCTTCTGCTCCTTGATGTCCACGTTGTCGTGGTTATTCTGCTCCAGGTCCTGCTCCTTCTCCGCCAGCTGCTGCTCCTCCTTCCGCTTCATCTGCTGCTGCTTCTTGTTCTTGTTTCGCTTGTTCTTATTCTGATTCTTCTGATTCTTCTGGTTCTTGTTCTTCTTGTTCTTATTCTTGTTCTTATTGTTGGGCCTCGTGTTGGCCTGATTGATGACGGGATGGATGTCATCATCATCGTCGACGCCTGTGCTCCACACAGCCGTCGTGCTGATTGGACTGTCCTCGGTGATGATCTCCTCGTCGTACTCGCCCAGCGGATGGTAGCCGGGGCGCTCCCTGTAGTAGCCGCCAAGGCCCTGGCCGTAGTAGAAGTCGTCCTCATCCTCATCGTAGTCATCCTCGTCCTCGTCCTCATCGTCTGGCCCATACTCCTGCCAGTGGGGGCCCACAAACGGATAGTAGCCCTGGACAGTGGTCACGGCACTGGAGTGGATGGGCGCCTGCACGACATCCGATTTCACGGGCTTCAGCTCGAAGACGGCATGGGTGTCGGGATTGACTTTGGGCGGCTGGTGGGACTGCACGACCACAATACCGGCATCTCCGGCCACGTTGGCCTGGCTGGCGGCATTGGCCACCACACTGACGCCATGGGGTAGATGGGAGGCGCTGGACTGGGCCAAAGGCAGGGCCAAGGCAGCGGGCACAAACTGTGACTGCGACGGCGACTGAGACTGGGCTTTGGGGTGCTGCTGCTCCTGTTGGTCGATATCCTCGTCCTCGTTGAAATCCTCCTCATCGTCGTCCTCATCATCGTCCTCGTCCTCCACATCTGCCGGTTCTAGATGCACACCCGTGAAGGCCACATACCGCCGCTTGGTGCCGGCCTCCAGATCCGCCCCGATCGTGGCGGATCCCTCGCGATGCTCCACCGCTGGAACCTGCTCCACGCTCAGCTGCTGCGAACTGACTGAGACGGACTGTGGCAGGGCAACCGCCCGACTTGAGCGCTTGCGGCGTGTGACCACGCACTGGGACTTGCTCCCATCGCCGGCCAACTGCCGGCCCTGAATGAAGAATCGCTTCAGCTCGTACTCGTCCCCGTTCTCGTCCACCTCGATCATTGTCTCGGCCATGGTCGTGGTCGTGGCCAAGGCCAGCCACAGCACGATGATGGCCAGCAGGGCCCAAACGCAGCTATTCCTCATTTCGACTCGCGTCTAAAACTGAGCTGTCCGACGCTCTGGTAGCGACTTATATTAGCTCGCCCGCAGACCTATTGACCCACAGCTAATTGCCAAAATTGCCAGAAAAGAAAAGAAATGGCAGCAAAATATAGAAAAATACGAAAACGGTTTCCTCGAACCGGAGGGCACTGAATTATTCATCAGACAGCATCAGGCCTTGGCTTTGGCTTTGGCTTTGGCTCTGGCTGTGGCTTTCTTTCGAGCAGCGAGATTTCTAGAACTTGTTTTGGGGAGCAGCTTTCGGCCGGGGGTCAATGGATCGACACTATCATTAATAACCCCGCCAAACGCTGATCTAGGGGATTGCCAAACAAGGCGGATGAAAGTTTATTTTTTTGATTTTTGATTTAGCCATGCCAAAGGGCCATTTGTGGGTCATCTATGAATCACTTGAGCCCTACGCGCAGACACAGCCACGAGTTGAAAGTTGATGATCCCCGCCTGGAAGAGGGTGTTGGGGGAGCAGCGCCAGGGCCCGGGTATCCTAAAATAGAAATTCTATACCATGTGGTATGCCATCTAAATTTATAACCAAGATATTCCTTTATTCCATTCAAAGGTGTTTTTTGTTAAATGATTTATCTGTGATTTAATCGAGCACAAAGGATGGAGATGGAATGCCACACGTGGTGCGAAAGTTCAGGCGAACACAGCCGAAAAACCCAAAAAAAGCGAAATTGACCTTTTGCCCAAAAGAAACGAAACGAGGGAAACGATGAAGCAGTTATGCAGATTTCTTTGCGGTACAAAAGTTTCTACAAAAACGAAATTAATTTATTGAATTTGCTTCGCCTATGGATTGGGGGGAGATTATGAAAGGCCAACGAAAGCCGCTAAGCATTCCAAATCAAAGCTTGACCCGAACTGAGTGACTAACTGGAGTTAGTCAGAGTCAGAATCAGAGTCAGAGTCAGAGCTGGTTAGACCAGCGGACGTTTCTTTGGCAGCTTCGACTGTGGCGACCACGGATTGTCCATGCTGTGGCCCCAGCCATTTATTGTCCACACCACTCTTGTGCATGCTAATGAAACATCATAAATTTGCAGGCACCAGAAGAGGTTCCTCCTATACAGCACACCATAATATGTATGTAAGTACTGACCATTGCCACAACCAGTGGCAGGCAGTCCCATCCCATTCCCATCTTCTGGGTGGAGTGCTGGTTACAGATACTCTCTCAAATATCGTATCCCCTATAATGATCCCAAAGAGATATAGAAAGGCTCGTTGGTATACTGTATGTATATTTCTTGTTAGGGTATGGGGGACGGATGGTAATGCACACTTGAATAATAATCGCGAAGAAAAAGAGGCCATTAAATCACAAACATCTCCGAGTTGGAGTCCCCCAGTCGGGGACCCAGCCTCTATTTGGAGTCCAGCGTCCATTTCCATTTGTATGTAGAAGCCTCTCTGTATGTCGCCTCTCGCACGTTGATCGAAAAGGCAGAAGAACCAGCCCCAGACCCAGCCCCAGCAGCAGCAGTAGCAGCAGTAGCAGCAGTTCGAGTATGTTGTTCCAGTATCTGAAGAACCCACCAGTGGCAGTAGCCGTAACAGTAGCCGTAACATCGGCAGTAACAAGAACACACCTTGTTCTTGGCAGAGAGGCCTGATATCAAGTGCTGATTGCAGGCACAAACCACAGTACTCCACACAATTTCTTGTAGACTTCAACGCAATCGACATCATCTAGAGTTCACCGAGAACGATATTAGATGGTAAACGATGGTCTCGAAGCATAGAGCGCGCGGGGTATGGCCGGGTATGTTGTGTGTGGCAGGCGTCTCCGATCGGTGATCCTTCCAGTCATGGCCAGGAAAGAGCTGTAATGGACTGCGAGTGTTATCTGTTGTATTTTAATCAATAACAAGTCAGACTAAATTCAAATTTAAATTCAAATCCGATATATTGGTATCCCCAGAGTAGCAGGATCGATTACTGTGCTACCACCCATCAGCTTCACAGTGCGATGCATTGGACCTATAATCTGGTAGAGGGCCTCGGCAGGTGCTGCACTACACACAGACAGCCCCCCATCGAACACACACAATCTCTCGATCGTATCGCGGAGCTCAAGAACTGTCCATTGCCCGGAGGCGATACGCCAGCATACAGTGGAGGTATGTACATATGTACATGCTCGTTTAATAGCAGACACCATTATATGAACATGCACATACATACATACATATGTAAGTACATGAACATGCCCACAGATGGGATCGGATCGCTCACCTGCAATGCTCCAATCTCTATCGAAATTGACGCACGCACCAAGAAAGTCCATCTGTACGCAATTAGAATTCAATTATGTGATGTGGCAGCCACAGCCACAGCCACAATGCGGCTCAAGACATCGCGGACACCGAATAGTTAACTTCTTCTCATTTGCATGCCGCTACGGCATTCGCGCGATAACTGCATTTGTAACAGCATCTCTGGCCAGTGTTGGCTAACGCCTGTGGCGCATAGAGGGACCCATAAATAAAGAACTTTCGTCTCAAAATCAAATTAAATGCAAAAGACACCTCAAAAAAAGGAGAAAAAACGATATAACACAAGTATTTATCATGATTTGCTGATGTTTTATCAACTGCTTATGTTGTCCGCTTTCGCATCGCCGGCACCGAGCAGCGGTCACCGTGTGCCCAACGGAATTTATAATTAATTCGTGCATTAAATTTGTGAGCATATTATTTTGTGTTTTCCTTTCTGCCGCACAAATCAATAAGTTATATGTGAGAGTTTCTGTTAATGATATTCATGATTTTTCTTTATTTTTATTTGCAGCTTGAGGAATGCCGAAATCGAACCAATCAAAAAATTACCCAAAAAACAAGAATGCGGCGCAAATAAGCAAATTCATTTCCAATTTGCATCTTTCCCGCAAGTCGCCTCCCCCTTGCCTGCTACTGCTACTGGAAAAACAAGTGCAAAGCTTTGCGGAGTCGCCACAAAACGAGTTCTTCCCACGAGGCAGCAGCAAATCACAGCCGCAGACCAATCCCAGAGCCCCTGTACACCTATGCCCTATGGCTATGTGTGCGTGTGCCTTGGGATGCTGCACCTGCACTGTGTTGCAGTTGCAACAAAATGGTGGCATATGCACAAACTCTGCCTCGGCCATGGGCGGAGTCCGGCAGAGACATCCGCTTAGCCACAATTTTAGCAGTGTGTGTAGTGTAATCATGAAGTAAAAGTGTTAATCGATTCTGCTGTGACCCAGAAAGCCGCTAAGTGTGCTGTTGTCCCAGAGATGGCGGTTGGGGGAGGCCACTGTTTATCACAATCATTTACGGTAGCCAGATGTGCCAAATCCCGAATGCCCTGCACGTTTGCCTTTATTTATTTGAATTTGAGCTGCCCGCTGTTTCAAAACATCCACGAAATGGGGCTACGCTTCCATCAGACACATAACGATATACATACGTCTTGTCTCGTATCCATCTTATCTTAATTAAAACTCATGGAATTTCCAAAAAATCATCAAATCTGTTCCAAAAAAGTACGCACCGCACCTTTTAGTACCACGCAAATATTCAATTCAATTTTGAATCAAATTATTTTGATTTCCTCGTCAGGTGTCGCTGCTGAGCATTACATCTATGTGTAGTTTCCACGTAGCAAAGTTGTAGTTACCATGTAGGTATTATGTAAGAAAATATTTGTTGTAGAAATGGTTGACTTTTTTGGTTAAACCATATTTTATAAACAAAACAATTAAAAGAAGTACTTAATAATAGCCGGTAATAATAATAAGCGGTCCAGCCAGTTAGTAATACTAAAACGAATACCAAACAAAGTAGAGCTTTGTATCACACATTTATGTACATATTTATGTATCTTACATATGTATTTCAACAATATAGTCTTCAATAAACAAATCAGAGTTGGTGCCTAACTTTCTTTCTTGTAAGTAGTTCGTCGATATTTGGATGTATGTTCATATCTACATACTACATCAAAACATGGATGACCTAGACTTTGCCGTCGATGTTTCTCCGATGTACAGCACCATATCTACGTGCCACAGATGTGCCTGTTCAAACTGTTCGGTGTCACATGTCGCAAACGAACTTTCTGTAGTAGATCACAGCGTCTTCGAATCTGGCGTTCGGCTACGCTGCGTGATCATGCGCCTGCCAGCCATTGTCATAATGCCGCTGAGTCGACGAAGCTAATCAATATATATGTATTGGATATATTTTAAAATAGATCTTCCTTCACAGAAGACTAAGGTACCCTACAATTTGTTAGAAACCGAATCGTATCCGATCTCCCACCACCAGACGGTGGCATTACAGCATTACAGAGCCGTATTCGAGACAGACCAAGTCCGTTCCCAGCCAGAAAGCGCACCCCTTGAAATTTTCCTGATCACGGTGTGCCATGGACCCCCCGGAGAGGCCACAAATAAGGAAGAAAACAAGATACAAGACAATATACATATGTCTGGAGAAAAAATCCTTGATCCCTAGTCCTTCTATTAGAACTAAGGAGCTATTTCGAATCCAGGAACACGTCGCACATTCCGCCAATCTTCGGACGGCCATATCTCAGATAAATGGGGCCAGATCAGTGAAGGACCTACTTTCCCAGGATCGCGAGGATTCAGACTGTCGATCGGAATCAAAACCTCAACTTTGAAAATGAGGCCGATTTTTTGAAAATTTAATGATGGTTACATCATGATTTTTTGCGAAAATCGTGAAAAAATGGATGTCCTTTTTTCTGATGGCAGTCGATTGGCAGGACTCTGACGATCACGAAACGGCATGCCACGTCCCGATCGGCTGCCGTATTGCAGAGATATTGCGTACAGAACAAACCAGTATCTTAATGATATGAATATCCGAATCTTGGGAAGGCTATATCTTTGACAAATAGAGCCAGATCGGGAGGTTCTATCCTTGATCCTCTGGTAAGGACTCACACAACCCCAGCCAGTCATATTTCCC